AGAAACACTACTTTCCTTCCTTTCTTAAAAAAAACCAAAACAAACAAACAAACAAAAAACTACCAAATAATAGAGACACAGAATTTAATTATACCTAATACATTTAGAATGTAATGTTACCATGTGTCATTCACTGCTATCTAGATTCATATTTTATTCCTCTTATTAGGAAACATGAGGAGCCTGGTAGCAGTTTTTATGCCTCTGTATCTCAAAGCAAGTCCTAGGCCTCATGTCAATTTGTTTGTTTTTTATTTATTTTTATTTATGTGCATGAGTACATGGGTGTCTGTCCAAGGCCAGAAGAGGAGTCAGATCCCTTGGACCTGGAGTTACAAGCAGTTGTGAGCCACCTGGTATGCTAGGAACAGAAGTCAGGACCTCTGGAAGAGCAGCAAGTACTCTTAACTGCTGAGCCATCTTTCTGCCCTGCCCCCAGACAGGGTTTCTCTGTGTAGTTCTTGCTGTCCTAGAACTCCCTTTGTAGATAAGGCTGGGCTTGAACCCAGAGATCTGCCTGGTTTTGTTTCTTTTTTAGACATGGTCTGTGTATCCCAGACTGGCCATGAACTCTTATGCATCTGAGAATGACCTAGATCTCCTAATCCTTCTGCCTCCACCTCACAAATGCTAGGATTATAGTTTAGGCATATGCCCATGCCTGTTGTATGTCCACTTATTATCCCATTACTACAAGACTTACCTATAAAGTAACGGTTATTATCTTATGCCTTAATACCTTTTTCAATCTGATAATAATTAACCACGATAAGTTGACATTAATCATTACCTGGTCCATTAAAACTTCCTGAATGAGAACATAGTTTTCCAGTTGGCCTGTGTGAGCCATGATGCAGACCATACTCAGTGTATGTAGTGTCTCTGTATCTACTAGTCTTAGCTGTCCTGCCCATTGTCCCATCACATTTTCCACATCCAGATTTGTCTCATTGGGTAGACTTTCTGTGTCCTACAGACTGGAAGTTACTGTGGAGGTGTTATATTTGAATACAAGCTTTTGGCAGGAAGCCCCATGAGTGATGATGACATGGTCACTTTGGGGCTGCTTCCTATGTTGTACTGTGGAAGTTCACTTTGTTTGTTTGAGATAGTGTCACATAGACTGGGCTGGCCTCAAATTTCATATGTAGACTTGAACTTGATCCTTCTACCTCTGCCTCCCAAGTGCTGGCATTATAGGGATAAACTGTCACATTAGCTACAAGTATGCTCTTTGTAAGCGTTCCTATTAAAGTCTGGCATGTTGTAGTGTCAGCTTCCTCGGTGTTAGCCCATGCAAACAAGAGATACCAGATATCCCTTCAGTGTATGTCATTGAGCCTTACAGGGATTCGGGGGAGGGGGGGGAGGTAAGAACCACTTTGCACAAATGGGAAACTCAAACAGTTGGTCCCCAACAGCTGATGTAGGGTGCTTTTATGCCTCAGCTAGTGGCACCTCCAGCAGAAGGTAAGATGCACCTGTGACTTCAGTCCTTTCTCAGAGGAATAACCTGTGTCTAAGATTATTTTTTCACTTCTTTTCTAGTGGAAATGTTTTTACTCAGACTCTTTCTAAATGTGTATTTTTATTTTGAGGCATTTGTGCATACTCTATAAAACAGTCCATTTAGGACATGTTCAGGGGATGCCTTAGGCCTGCAGAGTCAGTTGCAAGTTCCTTTTGTAAAGATGGGAGTTACTGAGAATATAGAAAATCTCTCCAACTCCAGGTAAACAGAGTGTTGTCTGGGTAAGATTTTAACTTAAAGGTAATAGGCACAGGGTCACCTGGAAAATACACAGGATGGGAAAACAGCATCAGAGGCCCTAATCAGTACTGCCATTTGTCCCTCTCCCTTCTAAGCCTGTACCCCAAAGTATTACTCAGCAGTCCTGGTGGCCTCTAGGAACACTGAGTCATGTTTGGCTCAGTTATCTGCTCCTTCAAGCATCTCCATAGATCCCACAGTGGCCTGCTCCACCCTAGGTCTGGGTGTGTACACCTGCTGTTTGACTGTGGTCTCTGATAGGTTCCAGAGGGATGAGGGACACTGCTAACCTGAGAACCTTCTGTGTGGTGCTTTGACCTAGTCATTGTGGGTGCACAATGGACACTGGGGGTTGGGGGGGGGGAGTGGTGGACATGGACCTGGAGCCTACTGGTACTCTCTGGTTAACTTGGGTCTTCTTTGCTAGGAAGAACTCATCCCTGACAGAAGTTTAGAAAACAGCACAATGCTTCTGTATTATGTGTTCTGTAACAGTATGGCCTGTTGTGAATGAATTCCTCTATACTGTAGACCAGACATGTTCATAAATGGTCAGTGCACAGCAATGATTACAGATACCTCCAAGGTTTTGCTCAGGGCAGCCTCTGTTCTGAGCTGTATGTGTTTGACTGGTTTTCTCTGCTCAGTTGCTTGTCCTTCCTGAGATGAGGACCTGTGACCCAGATCACATAACAGATGGGTGGGATCTGTGCCCTTAGCTGTCCCTAGCTTTTCTGAACAGTCCTAGCATAATGTGAATGTGTGTCCCTTATAGAGGACTCTCATAGCGTCATCTCTGCAACCCTCTAGACAGTTGTTCCCAAGACTGGAAGATGGGGTGTCAGCCAGCATTTATGTAGGTAGGCTGCAGACACACACAGGGACTTCAGGAAGGTAGTTCTATGAGGAGGAACCTAGTGGAAAGGAATGGAGAGGGCCTTTTTCATGGTCTGTGCTTTTGCTGTACACATGTATTAGCTCCTTGTAAATTGTGTGTCTCTGTATACATATTTTGGCTGTTTGGCCTCTCTCATGCAGGCCAACGCTGACCCATCAGTGATAAACTGTCTACATAACTTGTCCCGGCGCATTGCCACTGTCCTGCAGCATGAGGAGCGCCGCTGCCAGTACCTCACTCGAGAGGCTAAGCTGATCCTAGCACTTCAGGATGAGGTGTCAGCCATGGCTGACGGTAAGTGAAGCAGCCTGGTGAGCATGGGTCTGGGCTGACTGATGGCTTCTCCAGAGGACCCGCTGGTCACTATGCTTTGTTTTGAGGCAATTGCAGATAATGCTCCTAATTTGCCCTCTAGTTTCAGGACACTATTAAAGAGACCCTCTATGCAGGAAAGGCAGGCTTACTGCCTGATTGCAGGTTTGATCGCATGCATTTCTCTTTGTGGACTTGGGGTAAGCTGAGAGTACAGAGAATCTTTCTGCCTCCAAGGGCCTCTCCCATATCACAATGGAACAGTCAGAAGCTAACCAAAGCTTTGGCATTTGGTGAGCTGGACACTGGAGAGGAAGTCTTTACAACAGCTAGTAAGCAGAAACTGGCCAGAGAAGTTGTAGGATCTTCACATTGAGCTGGTCACAGGAAGGCTCTTCTCGGGGGTTTATATATGGATGGGTCTGAAATGATATCTATAGGAAATACTGCCCCCCCACACTATATAATCATCTTTCACCTAGGACAGGTGCCTCTGCCTGGCATTGGTTCTGCTAGACAGATTGCCTGGAGTGGGAAACTCAGGGAGGGGTATTTAGATCATCCTGCTGGTAAAATAGGTGATTTCCATACTTGGCTTTTAAATTGAAGAAGAATCTAACTATCCCCTAACCAGTTATAAGAAATAATCTGCTGGGTGGTGGTGGCACACGCCTTTAATCCCAGCACTCGGGAGGCAGAGGCAGTTGGATCTCTGTGAGTTCGAGATCAGCCTGGTCTACATGAGCTAGTTCCAGGACAGCCTCCAAAGCCACAGAGAAACCCTGTCTCGAAAAACCAAAAAAAACCAAAACAACAGCAACAACAAAAAAGAAATAAATAATCTTTGCTGACAGACACTGTAGTGTTTAGTGTGCCCAAAGGACCAAACATAGGAGAGAAACTGGTAACCTTGGCCTCCTTTCCCTAAGGTTAGCAGCTATAGAATAAAGAATGAAGAACAGAAGTTAGATCAAGTTAAAACAAATTAACAAAGTCCCGCCTGGTTCTAGTATATTTTCAGTAAAAATTTTACCTTTTTTCTTTGAAAATTAGCTGGGTATGGTGGCATACACTTTTTTTTTTTTTTTTTTTTTTTTTTTTTTTTTTTTTTTTTGGAGACAGTTTGCTGTGTAGCTCTGGCTATCCTGGAACTCACTCTATAGACCAGGCTGCAGGCTGGCCTAGAACTCACTGAGATCTGTCTGCCTCTGCCTCCTGAGTGCTGAGATTAAAGCTGTATACCATCACTGCCCAGCTAAGATGGTGTGTACCTTTAATACTGGCACTTAAGAGGCAAAGACCAGTGGATCTCTGAGTTCCAGGTCAGTTAGGGTTATATAGAGATACCCTGTCTCCAAAACAAAACACTTGTATTGTGGACCTGGAAATGGTTGTAGAGTGGTTGCCTAGTACATGTGAGGCTCTGGGTTCCAGCTCCAGGACCCAAAAACAAAATGACAACAAAAAAAACCAAACACTTACATTTTCTATTTTAGTTAATTATAAATATGATAGTAAACAATCCAGAAATTTTATTTCCTCTTCTTTGATGGTACTCACTTTTAATCTCAGGACTTGGGAGGAAGAGGCCGGTGGATCCCTGTGAGTTTGAGGCCTGGTCTACAGAGCTGAGTTCTAGTCCAGCCAAGGCTACAGAGTGAGGCCTTATATCAAAAGGAAAGAAACAAACCAAAACCAACAATAATCTGCTAAAAAATTAAATATTTAAAAAAACCCACATTCATTTAATTATGCATATTTTGTTAGGGATTCATGAAGATTAATAAAAGACAATTCAGTCATAAAAACAAATCTCATTAGCATACAAGTATGGGAAGAGGAGTGGGATATGGCATGGGCCTACCCAGTCACTGCAACAGAAGGTGAAGTCCAGTGAGCCAAGAGACATTCCTTCCATGGGAGGCAGTGAAATGGGTTGCTTCTGTTACTACAAGGTTGTATAGGCCAGTGACAAGTTTAAATAAAGGTATCTTATATAGAAATAATTTCACAAATCAGTGTGAGTCCACTTTTATTTTACAGGAATCTGGGATACATTGATGATGATGATGATGATGATGATTACAAGGAGTTTCTTGATGTTAGTTTAACATTGCTTTAACATTACTTATTAATGTTGAGTTTGTTCTAAAGATAATTCTTGTTCTGGCTTGTGCATGTTTTCTTGCTTTGGAAGCTGTAAATCCTTATCTGTTGTGATTCTTGTAGCAAACGAAGGTCCTCAGTCCCCGTTCCACCATATCCTGCCCAAGTGCAAGCTGGCTAGGGACCTCAAAGAAGCTTATGACAGGTAAGACGGCCATGCTTGTTGAATCTCTTCTTCCTGGGTCAGCTTTCCTAAGCCTCCAGTGCTGAAGCATTCTATAGACAATGCTGCCATAGGCTGGGTAATGCTCTGGGGTGTGTGTTGTGGAGCTCTGCTGAGACAGGGACAAGGAAGGTTAGGGAAGGGACAGCTGTGTGGTCACTCTTCAGGAAACCATCTTGGTGTCCATTTTTCAAATGGCAGCCCCTTCGTTGAGTGTTGTGTACTTAGCAGGGACTCATCACTCCAGACTCCTTTTAAAACAAGCTTGGGACTGGAGATATGGCTCAGTGGTTAAGAGCACTGACTGCTCTTCCAGAGGACCTGGGTTCAATTCCCAGCACCCATATGGTGGCTCACTACGGTCTGTAACTCCAGGATTCAGCACCCTTACACAGACATATATGCAGGGAAAACACCAATGTACACAAAATAAAAATAAAATTATTAAAGCAACAAAAACAGAAGCTTGGCCCAAGATTATACACAAAAGCCCGAAAATATTTTTCAACCATTAAAATTGACATTTTATTGAGCTTACCTACTGCCAAGTTCTTTGTCACCTTTATTGAGGTGGGCCTCATTGACAGCTCCCTCTTCACATATGAGGAAATCAAGATTCAGTGGGTAGAACTGGAGTTGACTGTGATAGTTTGTGCTCCAGGAGAGCTGGAGTTTGAGACATTGACTATATGGGGTCAGCAAGTATTGGGGACACAATGGAAGCCTCATGTTGATTTGATTATATCGGTGGCTGAACACTCTGTTAAAATGCGTGTGTGTGTGTGTGTGTGTGTGTGTGTGTGTGTGTGTGTGTGTGTGTCTCACTAAATGGTCTAGGTTGGTTTGAGATTGCATGTGTGTGACACTGTCTGGCTTTCTTTCTTTCTTTCTTTCTTTCTTTCTTTCTTTCTTTCTTTCTTTCTTTCTTTTTCTTTCTTTCTTTTTTTTTTTTTTTTTTTTGACAGGGTTCCATTATATAACCCTGGCTGGTCTGGAACCAACTCACTTATGTAGACAAGGCTGGGCTACATGGCATCTAAAAAACAAAGTAAAAAACAAACCAGGGATTTCAGGTTTCTAAAGAAAAAAGAGTGGACTGGGATTGTGGTGGAAAGTTGTAGTAAGTAAGACTATATAGCTTTGTCATCTGCTAGGCAGAGTTCAGGGCTTGATGCATCACAGCGCCACCTAGTGGACCAATTTGGAGCACAGGAATTTGAGAAAGGCTATTCAAGATTCTTCTAGCCAGATACCCTGTTTGTTAGTACACAGAGTCTCACTCCTCCAGGTGAATTCCTACACCAGCCAGTCCTGGGTCCTAGAACCTGTTCTGGGGAGGCTGAGAACCACAGTTCTCTAGCAAGATGTGATAGTTGTAACCTCCTCTGTTCCCACCCCTATCCAGTATTGGCACGGTTCTGTAATTGCCCAGTAGCCCTCTTGGCCTGATTCCCCCTAAGCCTCATCCCACAAGGTCTGTGGTTGGCCTTGAGGTCTTGTTCCTCAGCAATACAAAGGTGTGACTGAGTGTACGCTGGCTGGGTAGCTGTCTCCTGACAGCAGGTTTCTGCTAGAGTCCTGAGAAAAGTCTCTCAGAGAAGACCTAAAAGACAGGAAGTTGTGGGCTTAATTGGTATAGAGCTTTGAGAGCATCTTTTCAACAGAATTGTTCTGGATTTACTATTTTAACCCAAGCCAGAGTTCTGGTATAGTTGAGTTCCCTAAGTGTCTGTGAATATAGACTGGAAGTTGGAATCTCTTAGGAGGTCACCCTGACTGCCTCAGTACCTGTGTCTCCTTATGGAACTCCATGATCTCATGTGACCCCTGGGTTACATCCCTCAATAGGCCAAGGATGTCCCTTCACTCTCTATACATAGCCATTTGCATAGCTCATCCACTGATGGTTAAAGGAGTGTGTAATGGTAGGAGAAATGATGGTATAAATTCCTTGGGGTGTGAAGAAATGTTTTGTTGAGTGAGTCTCTGAAGTTAACAGGGACCGTGGTAGAGTCTAGGAGGCTTAGCTCTTGCCAATGCTGTCTTAGGCCTGGCCAAGCAGGTAGTGCTGGCAGCCCTGCTGATGGCTCAAGAGCAAGAGCAAGCCTGTAGTTGCCTGAGTACTCTGAGAGTTATAGTCCATATTTCAAAAAAGATGCACCTATATGTAAAGTTTGTTTGAGCAAGTCTGTAGATGCCTCTTGAGTATTCTGAGAGTTACAGTCCACATTTCATAAAAGATGAACCTATATGTAAAGTTTTGTTTGAAGTCTCAAGGTAGAACTTTTGAAGCACACCCTTGTCTCTTGGTTTGTGCAGCATCCTACCACCTATAACTGCATGGGGCAGAGGACACACAGCACACATGACAGAGTCTCAGAGTAGGAAAAGGATAAGCTGAGGTGAGGTTCTTAGCTAAAGGTAGGAGATGGCATTCTTTCTCATGCTGAGGAGTGGGGGAGTGAGATAAGCTTGTGTAGGGCTCATCTTGGGTGTGGACCATAGAATCCTGGTGCTCTGTACAGTCATGGTGTGCATATGCAGGGCTCTAGCAGAGCATTATCTCCTGTTGCAGAAAGGGCTGGGCTCTTGTGCTGTGAAGGCTGGATAAGCTTGGGGACAGTGTTTGTCTGCAGACTGTTTTCAGACTAAATAATTAATGTTAAATACCTTCAAATAGAAATACAAGCTTAGCAGGAAACCTCTCTGGGTGCAGACCCTGGGTTTTGTCTTGAAATGCAGATTATAGAAGTAGGGACAGTCCCTTTTCTTTCCTCCTCTTAGCAGATGTTAGTGTTTCTTGGTCTGTCTTCTTGCTGTGAAGGATTCACCTGACTTTCCCCAGAGCTAGAAGCTAAAGATGGGCAGGCACATTTCTAATGCTACCTATTCTCCCAGTGTACTCCAGAGGTTTGTCCACAAGTTTATCTGGTCCTCAGGGGACTCCTAATGGCAGCGCCCAGTGTCTCCACACCATTGCTTGGTTAGTTTGTAAAGAGGCTGCAGCTCAGTATAAAGTATTCAGAGGGAAAGCCACCGGCTAGGGATTCGAAGTCAGCTGTCATGAGGATGGTGGATGGCAGAGACACCTGAGCCGTGAGGGTATTATAGAGGCCTTAATGTGTCCCTAGTTTCCCTCATGCCCATAGCTAGCATTTAAGCCTGGCCTATACTGTCACACAAGTCTCTGATGTGCCTCTTTCCCTATAACTCTGTGGTTTATACAATTTGCTAAAAGTTGTATTTCTCAGTGCCAGCCAGAGTAAGATTCTCCCAAGTGCAAGGTTGTAATTTGTGCCCTTTCTTGCTGTACCCTAGGAACCTGAAACAGTACTTACTTAGAGTTGCACCTAATAGATGGTTGTCACAGCATCACTGAGATCCTTGGTAGAGCAGAATCAGCTATGTTTGAAATGATAGGAGTCTTGGCTTTTAATTCTGATTCCAACAGCTACCCCGTGTTATACCCTAAATAAGAGAGCTCAAAAACAGGACCTATTATTTCTTCCCTTTATGACCATGAGTTAAGCTGATTGGAGGAGCCTGGCTAGTGTCTGCATGGGAATGACTCCATGCAGCACACTGTAATCCTCTCCACTCTTGCCCTTCTTTTCCCATCTTTGTGTGGATGCTGAGAGCTTATCATGATGCAGTGTTTCCTTAGGTGGTTTCTCAAGGTTGGTTGTGAGCTTTCCATTCGAAAGAAGGGTACAGCTCTGGAAACTGCACTCAGACATGCTTAGTTAGGGCCCATTTCTAGAAGAGACCAATAGTGTTGACCTCCTCAGGGAGCCTGGGTCTGTGACCCACATCTTGACACTCATTAACCATCTAGTTTGTTCCTCCCTGGGGGCCTATAAACCACTGTTGCCCTCTAGACTCAGCCACAGCGTGGTGCCCATCCCTACACCTATCCTCAGTGGTACTGAGGCCCTGGGAGAAGCAGACGTAGATGTTTAGAAGCCATGGTGAACAGTCAGTGCTGCAGGGATCCTGGGGGAGTGAGGAGTCACAGATGTGTTCTTCCATGTCTCCTTTCCCTACTGCCCAGTCAGTCCCTGCTTGAAGGAGGAAAAGACTAATTTTTGCATTTGAAACTGTTGGCTAGAGTTCCTGGTAACGCTCTGGGGAAATTCAGAAGCTTAGGGCTCTTGGTTTATTGCTGGAGGCTTCAGGGCAGAGGCTATAATAGTCCTCGTAGGTGTATTGTGATACATGCTGAGAATCTCAGCACTTTGGAAGTAGAGGCAGGAGGATCACATGTTTGAGGTCAGCTTGACTCAAAAAAAGGAGTGGGCATGGCAGTGCACACCTTCACTTCAGCTCTTGGGAGACAGGTGGGTGGACTCTGTGAGTTTGAAGCCAGCCTACAGCCAGGGCTACATTCAGAGACCCTATCTCAGGAAAACAAGTGGGGATAAGGAGAAAAGAGAAAAGAAAAGTGTGTTTTGTCTGGCCTGGAGCAAGGACCTAGTTTCTCCCACAGTTTCTCCCACCCAAACATTTCCACCTTTGACCTGGGCAGGAAGAACTCTTGCCACACCTTCTTGAACTGCTGGCCTGCCCTATTCTTGGCCTTTCCCATACTGGGAGCTGAGAATAGCAGCAGGGTGGGTGGTGATGAGAAAGTATTTCTTGGCTGATCTTCTGGGTAGGAGGCTGCAAAGGAAACAAGATGGGGGAAGGTGCTATAGAAATTCAGAGGTTAAGAGCACTGACTGCTCTTCCAGGGGTCCTGAGTTCAATTCCTAGCAACTACATGGTGGCTCACAGCCATCTATAATGAGATCTGGTGCCCTCTTCTGGCATGGAGGCAGAATGTTGTATACATGATAGATAAATAAATCTTTCTTTTTTTTTTTGGTTTTTTGAGACAGGGTTTCTCTGTAGCTTTGGAGGCTGTCCTGGAACTCGCTTTGTAGACCAACTAGGTTGACCCCTAACTCACAGAAATCTGTCTGCCTCTGCTTCCCAAGTGCTGGGATTAAAGGTGTGCACCACCCATGCCCAGCATAAATAAATCTTAAAAAAAAAAAAAAAAGAGCCCAAGTGATGTGTCCTGTGCACTTGTTTGAGAACTGAAGTTACCATGAAGCTTTGGGTTGTATTTCCTACATTGGATGAAGGAGGCTACCTGCCTGGTGAGCTTGATTGGGTTGGGGCGGATGACAAGAAGCAGCCTTCTCATGCAGGGGCTTTGCCTACGCAGTTGCTTTTCTTCCTTTGTGTCATTTGTATAACTGCAGCAATGTGCTAACATACTTCTTGCCAACACTGTATATAGACCTGAAGACTATTGTCTGACTCTGGGTTCTCCCCGCTACTCATGAGTGCTTTGTATGCCAGTGCAAACCTTGCAGGGACATGGTGTCAGCAGCATTAGGTAGCAGACAGGTAGTATCCTGTGGGCGTGAGTACATGGGTACAGGGTGAGGGGTCAGAGTGAAGGTGGGACCAGGTGCCATGGGTCAGAATACCTCACTGAGAATGTGACAGTTGAGATTGAAGTGATGAGAAAGCCATAAGGCATTTGGGAAGACAGTCTGTGGCAAAATTTAAGTGCCAGGGTCCTGAGAATGGCTAGACTTGAGTGAGGGGGCAGGAATTGAGAACAGAAAGTGTGTGCAGGACACAGGGTTCTCTGTGTTGGAAGACCTTGGATGGTACTGCCCAGGTAGAAGCTATGAGGAAAGTGGACCAGGGTACCTTCTCGGGTGCTGGTTATCTGGGCAGCTCTGGCCTGGTAGTGCTGAAGAGATCTGGAGTTTTAATGTCCTTGCAGGTAGAACTCATAGGATTTATTGATGGTTTGAGCTGCTGTATGAAATAAGTGATTGGGGACAGTGGTGCCATGTGTGACCTGAACATGTTGAAGCTGTAACTATGTGTCAGTCACTGAGAATGTGGGGTAAAAGGTTTGCTGTGGTAGAATGTTGGGGCTGGGACAGATAGTCACTTGTGTGTCCTCTGATTGAAAGCTACACAACACATGTGCCTGTGGCACTCACCACCAGCAAGGTACGTGAAGGTAGGAGCTTTGTGCCTCTTACAGTAATGTTCTGTGGGACTTGACAGCTTCCTCTTCTATCCATCTCTTCTCTTTGGAATAGGTCTTGTCCTGGGCCTGGGTCTGCATCAGGTGTTCAAGACAGGTCTTCTCACAGAGGATGCATCTATCTGCTGGGTCCAGGCAGGCAGCCAATGGCTCTGCTACATTGAATTTCCAGGAGAGACAGAAGCAGCTTCCTTTAGCCCTGACAGGCTGATTGGATTATACACTACTCCAGGGAGGGAGGGACGGAGAAAAAGAAACTGTGTGTGTGTGTGTGTGTGTGTCTGTGTGTGTGTGTGTGTGTCTGTGTCTGTGTCTGTGTGTGTGTGCGCGCGCGCGTGTGCGCGCATGTTCTTACATATATTGAGATTGGAAGAGATGCTCTCTTACTCCTGAGATCTCCATCTGCATTTTCCTCTAGCCAGACGGGCAGTGTGTGAGGCCAGCATCTGTGAATAGGTTGCTGTCCAGTGGAAATAGGCAGGTGGCTGCTGAACTAACAAGCCCACTCTTCACAGCCTCTGCACATCTGGTGTGGTGCGGCTTCACATTAACAGCTGGCTGGAAGTGAGCTTCTGTTTGCCTCACAAGATCCACTATGCAGCTTCAAGTCTGATCCCTCCTGAGGCTATTGAGCGGAGTCTGAAAGCCATCCGGTGAGAGCCAACCCCATCATGCCTTTCCTGTCAGTGGCTGCCTGCTATTTTACTGGTTACTTTGTTCCAGAAATTCTCTTCCTCCCACCACAGAAGTTGGCAGATAGGGCTTTGCTGTTAGCAAAAACACATGACTTTACATCCAATTCTGCCCAGAAATGATCCATCCCAGGTTTTTACTGGTCCCTCCCAGCATAGTCTGTGTGAGTAGAACCTGCCAAGGGCCTCACCCACCACCTAGGCCTGCAGGGCAGCCTGGGGCTAAGCTAGGACTCTAGCAGATTGCCTTCATGGTACTGTACACTCAGTAATTACCAGCATTTCAGTCAGAAATCATGGGAACCCAAGTTATTTCTTAGACTAACTGATTTCCTGCAAGGAAAAGCTGGGTTGGAAATACAACTCAGTGGTGTAGTACTTTCTAGGCCCTGGGGTCTGCCTCAGCACTACAAAGAAGAAAAAAGAGATGAAAAGAAGCCTGGGTACTCCAGGCGGTGGTGGCGTACGCCTTTAATCCCAGCACTCAGGAGGCAGAGGCAGGTGGATCTCTCTGAGTTCGAGACCAGTGTGGTCTACAAGAGCTAGTTCCAGGACAGCCTCCAAAGCCACAGAGAAACCCTGTTTCAAGAAAACAAACAAACAAACAAAAGGCCTGGGCACATTCCTTAACACTGGAAATGACAGAAACAGAGCACTTATTGCCTAGTCCTCCCACAGCTGTGCCCTAAGCCAAATGGCTTTCTTGCATATTTGCATAGTTCTATTCATAGTTAGTGGATATTTTGATTTTCCTATTTTAGAAAGATCTCCCCCCTCCCCCTGCCTGTTTTTCTTTTTTGTGGTACTAATGGTTGGACCTAGCACTTTGCACAAGTTAGGCAAGCACTTTACCACTACATGAGTACACATACACATACATACACATACATACATAACACACACACACACACACACACACACACACACACATCTCCCCTCTCCCCTCATGAGACAGGGTCTTTCTGCTTTCCTGATTGTCTTGGAACTTACCATATAAGACCAGGCTGGCCTTGAACTCAAAGACTTTACCTGCTTCTGCCTCCCAGGTGTTGGGAGTAAAGGCATGCACCTCCATGCTCTTTTTTTAACTGTTATTTATTTATATGTGTGTGTGCATGTGTATGTACACATGAATAAGGTGACAGGCTTGGTGGCCAACCAGTCTAGCCAAATTGGCAAGCTTCAGGTTCTATTGCAAAAAATAAGGTAGAGAGCTCGGCATGATGGTGCACGCCTTTAATCCCAGCACCTGGGAGGCAGAGGCAGGAGATCACTAAGTCTGAGGTCAGCCTGGTCTACAGAATGAGTTCCAGGACAACCTGAGCTAAGTAGAGAGAGCCTGTTTCAGAAATAAAATAAAACAAAGTTGAGGATTGATGAGCTGGCTCAGCAGGTAAAGGCACTTGCTTCCAGGCTAGATGTGACCTGAGTTCAATCCATGGAACCCACATGGTAGAAGAGGAGAACTGTATGCATGTGCCTTATTCATATACAATATACATGTAAAAAAAAAAAAAAGTGGAGAGTGATAAAGACCTCTGATGCCTCCATACTTACATGAATGGGCTGAATAGGCTCATGAACTGTTCCCCCACGTACAGCCTCCCTACACACACACACACACACATCTCACACACACACAACACACACACACACCCCACACACACACACACACACGGGGGTGGGGGGGGGGACTGGGGTCATCCCAGAAGGGGGTGGGAAGTCAGGTATTAAGATGCTCCCTAGTTTTGTTCTAATCCCTACCTCCTTCCCCTCCCGCAGGGCAACAGTAATCCTTGCAGAGTTTGTAAAAGCCCTGACTGCTTTCTCTGATTTCTCCCTCAACCTCTACTGCCCACAGTGCAGTGCTTATGACCTCTGGCTGTGCCTTGGTGTTCCAGGCACTTACCTGGTACAAGACCTGTGGCCCTTCATGTTCTGCTGACATGTACCTCTGTCCTTCAGCCCCTACCATGCCTTGCTACTACTCAGTGATGAGAAGTCTCTGCTGGGTGAGCTTCCCATTGACTGCTCTCCGGCTCTGGTGCGGGTCATCAAGACCACATCTGCTGTGAAGAACCTGCAGCAGCTAGCCCAGGATGCTGACCTGGCCTTGCTGCAGGTAGGCTGGGGACCTGGGGAAGTGGGAAGAAGAAGGAGGTAGTCTGTGGGGGAAAATGCTAAATTCTGAGAAAAGCAGACTGCCTGCCATGCTAAATGTTTAGGGCCCTTGTCTAGCACACAAGTTGATACTACATGACCTGCCACAGATCAGGGTAGTGTGGGTGGGAGGCTTGGGGTTCTGGTGTCTGAATCTGTCTCTGTTGAGCAGAGGTGAGAAAAGCCATAAGAGAAAGGAGAGAAGTGTTCCCAGCAAAGGCCTGGAGGACAGGTGGGGGAGGTAGTAGCACACAGCAGACACACCAGCTCAGGACAGTCACAGTGGCATACGAACAAGCATGTGGGAAGTGAGAGCTTGAACTTGAGCTGCTAACTTACCCTACTGTATGTGCTTCTGTCCCTGCACATTTCCACCCCTTCCTTCCTTCCTTCCTTCCTTCCTTCCTTCCTTCCTTCCTGCCCTCCCTCCCTCCCTCCCTCCCTCCTTCCTTCTTTCCTTCTTCTAATGAAATACATGTCTTTAATGGTGAGACATGCAGAGATTCAGTCCTATTCGAGAGATCTGTTAAGTCCAATCAGAGAAAGCCTTCCCTGTAGGACCAAGAATTTGTTTAATTTTTAATTCAATCTCTGATACCCAAAGGACTAGTATCTAAATGAGTTACTGATCCATGTGTGTTCCTTTTGTTTCATTGTCCCCCCCCCATCTTTTTTGTTCCCAACCCAGCCCCAGGGTCATCAAAATAGCCCATTCTCAAGGAGGAGGTGTGGCAGAGACAGGCAGGTGGGAAACAGCTGATCAGGTTGTGCTCTACTGGAAGGGTAGCACTGTGTATCCCAGAGCAGCAGGAAAGGGACAGATTCAGTGCTGGGTTCCACCTTCTTGTAGAACCCTGTTTGTGGCTGTGGTTAA